AGAAGAAAATTGAGTGTAAAAGAGAAGGAACGGCGCAGTGTCTTTCAAGTCCCGATAAGCCCGCTGATTCGTCCAAAATTACTTTGATCCCATCTTTTTGAGGGCTTTGATTTCATTACCAAAACCTCAAATCTCTGTAACATAATCCACTACAATTTTTAAATAAATCTCATCAAATTTAATCCCAAACCAAAACCCTAATTTATTTCACAACCCAAACTAATATTTCTTTTTTTTTTCTTTTTTTCTGGGGAAACTAAAGTGGGATAAGTGCTTTTATTTTCTGAGTATTTTTACAGGGCTTTGGGGTTTGGGAAGTTGGGTGATAAAGAAGCAGCTCCACTGGAATTTCGGGTAAGACCCATTTGTATGCAAACTTCAAAGTCGGGTCATTTTTGCTTACATATACCATATCCACATCTTTGCTTCTAATAACCCTACATTTTCAGGTAATAAAAGTTAGATAATTTTGACCAAAAGGCAAAGAAGAAATTGTAGTTATAATATTTTCTTTTATTAGAAGCTGGAAAAAATTATTATTATTTTTTTTATCATACAAGCTCTAGCCTCTAGCCAAAAAGGTTGCATCGTTAAATCATCTTAAACTTAGACAAAAAAGATTCAATTTTTAGCAACTGGGCTGATTTAGGTCTGTAAATTTTTGGCTGATTTTTTCCGTAAATTAACATATTAATAATGCTTTTGAAAAGTCCCAGATTTGCTGCTCAATCTACACAAGTCAAGATTTTTGTGTGCTCGTGAGTTCTTTTTAGTTTTTACAATATATATAATCATAGCTGATCATCTTTAGCAAGCTTTTTTTTTCTTGAAAATTTTTGTGTATTTTGGGAAAAAAGGCTGCTGAAAATTTGGAAAATCTCATCACAGATCCAACAGTTTCTTGATTTTTCTTTTCTATTGTTTTGCTCAAGAAATATTTTTTTTGTTTTTTAAGAACAGGTTCACAAAGTACACACAACTTGACAATTTTTTTTTATGTATTACTTTATTGCTTACAATTTTCAAATATGTGGTGTAAGAAAGATAGATATTTTTCCTTTTCTTTGTATTAATATTTTGGTGTTTAAGCAGATTGTTGTTAACTGTTATGGCTGTCTCTCTGCAAATTTCTAGGGTCAGCTAAAGTTTTAAATTTTAATTACTCTCTCACCTGTCGTTTTCCTTGTCCAGGAGAACCCAAAATCCTAACAGACAATTAAATCGTAGTTTAGCACTTTAGCTGTGTTATTTACTGTGTTATTTACATGTTAAGTAAAAACAAACCCAAAAACAAACAAGCTAAAAAAAAGGACATTTCTTTTATTTACCTTTCCCTTTTTTTTTCCTCTCTTTCTTTGCATCTGATTCTTTTCTTTGTTTTTTTTCCCTTTTAAGCACCGTCTCAGATAAATTTGACTGTTTAGTGTTTACAATTTTTTATCCCTTTTTTATTTTTGATTAAAAAANTCTTTCTCTCTGACCTCTCTGTTACAGAACGTGATATATCACAGCCAATCCATCTTTCTCTCTCCTCTCTCTCACTCTTTTCTATGTGTGTGTGTATGTATCGATTTTGTATGTATATTTCAGCACAAAAGCCAAAGGGCTGTGTGTAATCATCATCAATGCTAAGGACTGTACAGTCATAGTCTTCCCCACACACCTACTCTTCAATTTTTCTCGCTCCTCCAAAGGGTTAAAAACCCTAATTTCACAAAAAATTTCAGACTTACGGTGTCAAGTTCGGTTTTTTATCCGACCCCTTCTCCGGCAAAGAGGCATGAATGCTGTCCGGCATGGAGATTGATGAGATTCAATGCAAGTTCCCGAGAATCGCCAATGGCAGCCGGAAGATGGACGGCCAGTTCCCGGACGAGGAGGAGGACGGCGAGAATAAGAAAGCCGTCGCCGCCGCCGCCTCCGCCGTCGGCGGCGGCCTGCTCGGGGGCGGGGTGGGGCGTTTCTACGGGTGGCCGTCGTCGCGAATTGTGAGGGTGTCGCGGGCCTCCGGCGGGAAGGACCGTCACAGCAAGGTGCTGACTTCGAAGGGCCTCCGGGACCGGCGGGTCCGGCTGTCAGTGAACACGGCGATTCAATTCTACGACCTGCAGGACCGGCTGGGTTACGACCAGCCGAGCAAGGCGGTCGAGTGGCTGCTCAAGGCGGCGGCCTCCTCCATCGACGAGCTCCCTCCGATGAGAAGCCCCTTCCCGGACACTCCCTGCAGGCAGACGAGCGACGAGAAGCGGTCCGACGGCGGCGGCGGCGACCACCAGCTCGGACTCGACTCCGGCGGCGGAGGAATAGATCCGAGCTTCCCCCAGTCGCAGGCGACGAAATCCTCCGCCTGCAGCAGCACGTCGGAGACCAGCAAAGGCTCCGGCGGCCTCTCCTTGTCCAGATCTGAGAGCCGTATCAAGGCCCGACAACGGGCCAAAGGACGAGTCGCCGAGAAGGAGAAGGAAAAGGAGAACGACTCGTCTCTTTCCGGCGGAACACTGAACCACCACATTTCCCAAACCACTTCCTTCACGGAGCTGTTGAGCGGAGGAATTGGCACTGTCAGTAACCACACGAACACCTCCGGCGAAGGGGGCGCCGTCGCCGGCAACCCGTCGAATTTTTTCCTGAAATCGCCGAGAAACTGGTCCTCGACCCCGATGGACTACTTCGCCTCCGGCCTCTTGGGCCCGCCGGGGCAGATGAACCCGTTCGCTCCGGTGGCCTCGCCGATGTTCAGCGTGGCGGCGGCGGCCGACCACCACCACCCGGAGCTCCAGCATTTCACCTTCGTCCCGGATTTGACGGCTGCCGGCGGAGGAAACAACCTGAACTTCAGGATCTCGCCGTCGTCCGGGAACTCGTCCGGCGAACTTGCTGGCTACAATAGGGGGACCCTTCAGTCCAATTCCTCTCCTCCGCCGTCACTGTTGCCTCAGCTCCAGAGATTTTCCGAGGGAACTTCACAGGGCTTTTACCTGGAAAACCACCATCAACACCACCACCAGTTCCAGTCGGGCTACGATGCCCGTTTGCAGCTATGCTATGGTGAGGCCAATGTCAATGAAAATAATTCCGGCAGCCACTCCGGCCAGAAGGGGAAAGGCAAGAACTGAGCTTTGACGCCAATTTCTGCAATCAATTCTGGTAAAATTATTTATCCCTCCCTGCAATTATCCTTTTACAATTTTAGACCTCAGTTAGTATTATAATTTCAATGTCGATATCAAAGATCGAATTTTTCCTGATAAATTTTGGTTATTTATTGTTTAGAGTGTAGCCCTATGCGCAGTTTTGATTTGATGGGTTTAAAGTTTAAACTTTCTAGTACTATGAACAGTTTTTGTTATTAATTTATTTTTCTTCTTTCATCATTGTCTTGGTTTTCATGAAAAAAGCCTGAACATTGTGCAAATCTGAATANGTTGTGTTTTGTCTGTCTTTTATGACAATTCTTGGCTTTGGTTCCCTTCTTCCTGAACATATATGGGTGAGCCAAAGCCAGGTGTTACTGTGTAGTGCAAGTGAAGGGGGGCGCACTTTAGCATCTGGTGATTAAGTCTTTGAGTGCGTAAGATAGCAAGGGGCTTCCTTTTTTTTTTCTTTTTTTTCTTCTTATATAAATTTAATTAATCAAGACCAGAAATTTATGCCTCCTTTTATTGTGGCAGTCCCGCCATTGGTCTGAGACAGATAAAGAGATCAACGGTGAGAATTTAACACCTGTCAAAGCGCCTAAGGAGTTTAATTTCCTTAATTAGAGTTTATGGGTTTTTTATATGTAACAGTAAAGGCCAAAGCCTAGCACAAGACACAAGAATGCAAGGTGAGGGAAAATGTGAACAATCGATTAAAATAATAAATCTTAGTACATTTGGTTTAGATTTATAAAATGTGAAATGTCTTGAAACAGAAAATGTGATTGTAAATGATCTTTTATGAACTTATGAAACAAAAAAAGAGACATTATAGGCTTGATAGGAAAAATAGCTTAGTAGGTAGCTAGATTATCATTCCTAGGTTTGACCACACTCTTTGAAAGAAAACAGAAAAAAAAAAAAAAATGTGTTATAGTGAAATGTGTGATGCAGGTGCTCTTTGGACTTGGGAAAACTGAAATGTTTCAAAAATGTTTATATATATATTCATAATGAACAAACTACTTTGAATATATATTCTTCTATTCTTTCTTATTTACTTAAAGTACTACAAACAATGTTAAATTTCTGTTTATATATAGTTCAAGTGTCGTTGTTTTGCTATATTGCCAATTCCCATGCTGTGCCATGGCTTGTGATCTCAGTTGGGATTGGATTGTTTGGTGAAAAAAAATACAAAAAATGTGTAGGGTTTAGGGTTTAGGATAGAAAACACTATATTTAGGATAGAAAAATTCGTTTTTAACTTATGAGCCAATGTTGTCTCCATAGAAGCACTCTAGTGACCAAGTGGAGCTTATTGAGTAAGCACTTAATTATTTATATCCACTTTGAACTTAGTCTCTTGCATGTTAAAAGCTTCAAATCATGTCTCTTGGTAATATAAGATATAGTAAAATACAATGTTTTGTGGAAGAAAATTAAGTCTCGCGTACGAACTTAATGGCAACAACGTTTTGGAGATCCATTTCGATGAGTATTATGATAAATGCGTATGTGGGAATAATGTCCGTTTTTAGTTTATTCAATTGAGACGAAAAAATATGGTTTTATCTTGCATTTTTTGTTCTTCATCGATCCAAATGTTTGATAAACGCGTCTTTTGTTCATGTCTTGAAACAATGGCAAAAGATATGGTTTTATCTTGCATCTTTTTTTTTTAATCGATCAAATGTTTGATTAATGTTCTTCACTTAGAATTGAGTTTTGTTCGTGCTTGTTGCAGGTAATAATCGATGATGCGAAAAAATCCCGCACTTTACTGAGCTAAAGCATTGTGTTCTCCTTTCTCCCCTGAAGCCTTCAGCGAGCAGCCTTGTGTAGTTTGTTGTGCCATCTAAAATTTTTATAATTATCCAAAGCAACTTTTAAGTAGTGCTTCGATTTCCTGGTTTAAAATGCTCCAAAACTGGCTTTTTTTTTCCTAAGTGGTGTTTTTGTGTGTGATGAGAAGTGTTGTGGTTGAATATTTTTTTCAGGTCTAAAATCTGTTTTTCGTTCTAACACAATTGTTCATAATAATGGTGACGATTTAATGTTGCAAATAACCAATTGTTTCTTGAAAATTCCCTGTATATGCTACTCCATTTTTTTTAATCAAGTTTTATCAATTTGAATCCAAAAGGATAGGTGAACAATTGATTTGGAGCATGAAAGATCAATTTTATCAATACAAAACCTGAAAGATCTAGAACTATTAATGATCTAGTTTCTATCAGTATAAAATCACTCAAATAGAAAGAAGAAAAAGGAAGATAGATAATATAATCAAATTTATGTATAAATCTTGCTTTTATGTATGTATGTGACTAGTGTAATTCTTTTTTGTTTTCTTCATCTAATTTTTTTTTTTTATTCATATTCCATTGTATCTTATTTAGAAGCTTCTATATTTTAATAACTGATGTGGGATACAAAATTTGGTCATGTTTCCATCTACTTAATCATTTCTATTTATATTAAGATGTTTTTATTTATTTTCTTACAATCATGTACCATAATTAAAAATAATTATCTGTTGCTCAATAATCTATGTTTGTAAATAAACATAATAGTTTTAGTTAATTTGCAAATTAATATATATGAGTTGTAAATATGTAATTAAAATGTTAATGTGTAGTGGAGGAGGTAATTTCCTCAAACTCTTTTTCTCATATAAGACGTCCTGATAATAATTTACCAAAACAAACATAGATGGTTTCACTAGGGAGGTGAAAGTAAAAACCTCAGCACAGTTTGAAAACAAGATTGAAAAGAAATTAAAAAAAACATCAATTGCAAGTTGAATACGAAACTCATCACAAACAGAAAGTTCGGTTGTTATTTTGCATTTATTATGGCAGTAATTCAGCTGATAATAACACACAGTTAAAATTCGTGATACACTTTCCAGTAACACCTCTTCATGGGCAGCACATTATCATAGTATCAGCAAACCTAGAACAATATTCACAGATAAAACGAAAACAGAGCCGCAAATGACCTGCAAAGTCGAATGCGCATAATTACTCTTACAACAATTATACAGCTGCTTCAGCATCCGTGCTCAACAGTGCTCGAAAGAAAGATCGTTTTAAGGCTCATCAGTAATTCACAGCTTTTCTCTCACGTCACTTACAAGTTGTTGGTCCAAATTGACCTCCCAACTAGTGTATCTTGCTTTTCCTTTTAAGTCCTATACCTGGAAGATCCAAAGAGGCAATTTAGAAATAATAAATAAATCAGGAAATGCCCATACTGTGGTGGGAGATAATGTTATGTGATGCATAATGTATATGATATATTGGATGAACAGAAACTCATCTGGAAAGGTAAGATTAACAGAACACAGTACACAAGAAGCACAATTGTTCTAGAACTTGTAGAAGGCAACTGGGGGAAGAGAAATCAGGTATAGCAGCTTATTAAATTGAACAACATAGCAAGCGTCCGAGTACTGATCGAAAAATATAAAAACACTGCAAGACAAAATTCAATAAATTCACTCGAGAATCGGTTCAATACTCAATAATCACTTAATAATCCAATCATTTTTTTCACTATGCCACTCAGATAACAGCTACATAACAAAGAGAATTCTTTTTAATGTTCATAACAAAGAGATTTTTCAGCTACATATTGGAAAAAGGTATATTTACTGTGAAAGGATGTAATAACAGGAACGATGGCAAAGCACAGGGAGATAGCTTTAGTGGTTACCAAATCAGGATATCTTTCTATTAAGACTGGAAAAAAAAACACTCAGAGACAACATAGATAATATACTACACTGACATCATTCTCAAAGTCTATTTCGCCATGAGAAATCCTCTGCAACGTATAACATAATATCTTGCATACGTAAGGATGCTTGTGCAAATCTAAAAGTTAAAAATGCCCGCCATAGAAAAACTCATAGTTTGAAGGTAACAATCACAATAATTCAACACTCAACACACAAAGTAACATAAATGAAAATCATTAGCATACAGGAACGAATTAGTTTGAATAGATATAACAGTAATATATAATGCAAAATATTATGCAGCCCAGAACATTCCTAAAGCAATGTTACACACGCAGATCTCCAAATGTTCAAAAAAAAAAGGATAGACATCAATACCTAAAATCTCAACCTTCGGCACTCATCAAAAGGAGTTCATTTCAAGGCAATAAGTCCTCCTCTTCACCAACATCCTCACAGCAGTCCCAAATGGCTCCTCAAAAACTGACGCAACCCAATCCCCCTCTGAGCCCACCAACTCCTTCTTGGGCTGCTCGCTGGGCCTAATCGCAACCAAAGTAGCCCCTTTTAATACCAAACCATTCGGCAACTCGAGATGGGAAGCATACCACAACCGCATATTCAAAGCCGGCACAAGAGTCCTTTTCGATGCTGAAGATGCTGACAAGGGCTTCACCCTCAGCTCTTCCAATTGCTCTTTGTTCATAGACAATACACCTTGCCCATCTGCATCTATCAAGACCAAATTCTCCAAAGTCTTGTGCTCAGCTATAATAGGCTGCAGCAGATAATGCCTAGCTGAGGCAGCTATTAAGGAGCTTATAGTCCATACAACTCGCAGTTTTAACCCTCCATTCGTATAAAACGATTCGGGTATGCTCCCATTATCATCTTCTACCCCATTGTTAGTGTTGTTGTTGTTGTTAACACAATCATTACTATTACAATTACTCATAGACTCAAAATCCGTACTCATGTTCTGAACCACACTGGAGGCTCCAAGAATAATGCAGCTATCAAGAGTCGAACCAAAGTTAGCCTTCCACTTAAGCAAAACACCGTCATCAATACCTAATTCCCCACTCGGGAGCTCTATTCTGAGAAGCTTGATCTCATTGAAATTCTTCAATACCTGAGTAGGCGAATGGTGGGTGACGACGCTGCTCGGCTCGGCATCGCAGTCGAAATCCTCAGGCAGAGTCAGGCGGCGGGACGAAGGGGTGATTAGCTGAGACAGGGACTGCAAGGGCTTGAGTAGTCCGGAGAAGAGGACGCGGAAGATGGAGGATATCGGGTGGCGCGACCTGTCGGAGCCGCCGGAGGCAGCGGCGGACGAGGAGGTCGCCGATGGGTCGTCGTCTGAGATGACGCAGTCCACGCGGACCACGACGTTGTCGACCTCGGGAACGAGATCGTGGAATCGCCTGGAAACGACGCAGCAGCGGCCGAGGGCCTTGACATCGCCGATCTGGTTGAAGATCAGGAGGATGATGGAGTCCGGAAGCCGGTCGAAATGGTCGATGGGCTCCGGGAAGACTCTTCCTCTCAGATCCGGACGAATCGAACCCATTTTGTCAAAATTTGTTTCTGTTGCAGCACGAATCGAAAAGGTGTTTTAGGTGCAAAATACTTTTCAGGTAGGGAAAAAGGCCGGGATTAAGAAACTGCCATGGATCTGAAAGATGGAAAATCCATGGGAGATTGAATTTGTTTTGGATTTCTGCAGAGATTTATGGTGCTTTGTGAGGAAAGTGATAAGTCGATGTGATAAATGGGTGGACTGTGGAGGAGAAATAATGCTCGATTAGTGAACATCTGTTTATTATTATTTTCCCCCTTTCTTATTCAATTGAAATTAAGAGGGTTTTATTAGTAAAATGAAATTCTTAATATAGTCACAAAAAATATTAAA